TACTCAATTAAATTCCGAGCAAATACCTGAGAAAGTCAAACAGCGTGGCAGATACAAGGCATTTCAGGCGATCGGTGAAACTAATTTTATGACTTGAGCGAGCTGAATAGAAATGACACATGAATAAGTTGCTAGGCCATTTAATTTGACAAATCAGGCTGCTCATCCTAATGGTGCAGAGATGCAGGCTACACAGGAAGACATTTTACACATTTTAATGCATGTGTTAAATGGCGTTCCAGTCAGTTATTGTTACAGCTTTCTGTTATGGCGTCGTCCATGCTTCATGCCGTTTGATGGTGGGAATGCTGTGTGGTGGAAGGCCAGTCGCTTTGTCTCAAGAAATATTTTTTTGTGAAATGATTCTGTGTTCTTTGATATTTATAACACCAGATGTTTTAGCTCAGAGTTTGATCCTCGTGTTATTTTCATCTCTTTCATCTGGCTCATTTTAAGGATGACTTTAGTTTGTTACAACTCAGACTTTGACAACAGCAACGTCATTAAACAAGTCCAACAGAGCAAGAAACCTAAGCTGTCAAATGATGAAACAAACTTCAAGAGGAAACAAAGAGTTAAATTAGTGCCCAAATTGTTCATTGTAAACATCCAAATCATTTTCCTGGTTCATCTATGACCTTTCGTTGGGGGGATAATTGCACATTTTGGTGTGAAACTACAGCCAAAGAATGAAACCATAACTGTTTTGATAATTACGTAATTGTTCAAGTAATTTTCCAGCAATAATCCTGACTAGTCTTTGGTTCCAGCTTATCCACTAGGAACATTTATAGCTTTTTTCATTCAGGATAGTGTGAATAAAAGTAGTGTGAAAGTAAAACAAAGTAATTTGCACTGATGGTGATTCATACTATAGATAAAATGATTATTTGAAACTCCTTTGAAAATTATCATTTTCTCAAATCTCAAGAATACCTGAAGTATCTCACCAGATCTCAAAAAGTCAGACCAAAATTAGATCCAAGCTGCTATAAACCGGACTTATCCTTTAAGATAACACCTTAACACACTTGAGTAGCCGAGCCGTGTTGTGAACACACACCTCTCGCCCCTCCTTTTACAAACTCAGGGTGGCACCAGAAAACCTGCAAGGTGCAATAATACAGTATCAATAGGGTGATGACCTCATCTGGGGATGGTGGAGTCGCAGACCTCTGATTAGAGGTGCATTGATCTCCTGGGACTTGCTGCAGAAGTGGCCTTAATAGGATCTGATGTTTTTGGCCTGGGGCTCCACACTCTGCTGTGCCTCCGCCAAGGCGTTGCCAGGATACTGCACTGGTACGCCGGTTGTGAAGTACTCAGCTGGCTTGTGGTAGGTAGGGACTGCTGTTTTTGATCAAAGCCTGCATGCATGCCGGTGTGTGAGCACGCCATAAATGGTCAATGATTCAAAGGCCACTCAGCACTATGGAAATGCAGGTATGCGACTCACAAGGAGCCAGTTAAACAATGTCTCTAAAACCAAATAATACAGAGGCTAAGGGTTAATCTTTGCTTTTATGAATCTGCCCAACCCATGGCCTGATCTGCAGATAAGTTTACTACGTCATGAATTCTTAAAAGTCTCACTTCACCTGGTGGCAGCCAACTTATAACTCTCTGTCTTTTGGAGCTGGTCCCAAAGCAACATCAATAAAGACTGATACCGTAATCAAAAGCAGATGTCTGCAGGAAGGAGCTGTTGACACATTTTGCCTGTGAATCATCCCGAATGCGGCATGTGCAGTCAGCTCCTCACCGGCGGACACACGGGCGAAGCGATCATATATCACAACAGCTGACGTCAGGAAGTCTCAGGAATGGGGTCCGACGCAGCCAAGAATGTTCCATTGTTCTGAGTGTGCAGAAGACCTGTTGTTTATGTTTGTTTCAGCTGAACTTAACTTTTCCAGCTCCAATGTGTCTATTAGGCACATGGCTGGAGATAAGAGCTAAATCAAAGATGGGAGCTTTGATAGTTTGGCAAGGGAAGGATCGATGATAGATTTTCTTAATTTGTTTGCCAACCAAACGTTAAAGTAGTGTTGGAGAAATGTCAAGGAGCAAGATTTAGTAGACATGATTTTAGATAAAAGTAAATCATTATTTAAATGAAAAGTTAGAGACTGTATATTTGCTAAGCAGTGATTCAGTGGCTCGACATAAACCGAAGCAACAAGGGGAGATATAAATCTGTCATCTCTACGGCAGCAGGTCTTTTTCCTCTGGTGCTTTTTGTGCTCGTGTAGCTTCATCGAGAATTCTACTCCATAAAAACAACAATGAAAACAAAACCTGTCCCTGTCAACTCCTCAAACAGCTTCTTGGATCTGAAGATTCGGCAACACTTGTATTTTGAACATTTCACACGCACACGCATTAGTTTTATCAGCCCAAGCAGCTGTCAGTGACGGCCCTCGCTCGTGTCTGATTGATACCATCCTGTTGTGACTCTTTGTTCCCATGTAGCTCCATATAAGGTGGTCCTCAATAGAGTTTGTTTAATCAGATCTGCCAGAGACAGAGCCCAGCGATGGCCCCTGCAGGGTCCAGCTCAGCTCAGATAAAATACGTTAAGATAAGAGTGAAGGTGAGAAAGTCAGAGGTGAGATTTCTTTTGTTTGTTTTTGGGCTGGATGGTCGGTTTGGCACTCACCGGCTATTGTCCCCCCCCTCCCTCAGTTGCTAAGCTGCTTTGTTTGTGTGGTGCTCTGCCTTTGGCATCAGTGGTGCGTATCAGGTTACATGTGGGAATGAGGTGTAGTGTTAGTTCAGCAGCTCCTTTGTCCCCTGAGAATCCACTATCTAATAAATCTGGGAGCTTTGAATCTTATCTATGCACAATGCTAACGGTTCTGTTATAAAATCATCCTTAAATAGAATCAGATTATTCAATAAATAACTACATTATTCGTCCAAATCCACTATTACAGTATTGAATTTGAGTGAGCAGGGTGGAGCCGTTTGATGCACACAGTCTATTGTTTAAATTTTGATGTCTCCAGTGAATTAAAGCAATTATTTTCCTGTAGCAAGCCAAGTTTAATTAGGTGATAATTCCAGGTAGGAGGTGTGATAAGTGCCTATAGATAGAATACATTTCTTAAAATGTTATCTACTGCTTCGTGTCTTCCACAGTTATCTTAATAGCACTATATTGTGGAAAAATATAATTTTTTATTGTTTTCTATAGCTTTTACGAGGTAACAAGTAAAAAATGAAGCTGCTGCGTTAATAGGAGACACATGTAGTTTATAGTTATAAATACCTGTGTTAACAACTCTTTCCTTTGGCCCTATATTAAGCACAGACATCTGCAATTACATGCAACAAATAGAATTTCCCTGTTTTGTTTTGTTTTTTCTCTCCTCCTAATCGCAACCAGATCTGTGCTCGTGAGCTGTGACAGGACGTCTCAACACCTCCAGTATTCGACTTGCAGTGTGCTGCTATGTCTGTGTTAACTAAAATGCCGGCCCGGCTGCAAATGTGTGTGCATGTGTGGAAAGAAGCACTGCTGTTCACACCAAAGCTTTTTTCAGTCAGGCCAGTTTGACAGTCGTGTGATTTTAAGGAGTGACGCTGCAAAAATAGGAGGTGAAAGCTCAAATAGACATTTTTGGCCTGTTTACTAAAGAAGTGTCAGAAGTGCCACTTGCCATTATGAGTCTTGTGGAATAAAATTAGGGAAATACCTTTATTCATTTTAGTGGTGAGAGTGAGACGAGAGGATCAATACCACTCTAGTATAGTGCATTAAGTATGAAGCTCGAGCAGCTGGTTGGATTAGGTTGGTATAAAATCAAAGTGCACATGCATGCACACATAGCGTTTGTGCTCTGGAACAGCACAATGAGTTGTTCAGGGTTTTACAATCATGTTTTTGTACAGATTAAATGAACAAAGTAGAATTTATCTTAAAAAATCTTTATAGGCGCTGATTAATTGTATTCCCGCTAAACCAGGCTAGCTGTCTCTAGTCCTCACGTTAAGCTATGCAACCAGCTTCGCACACATATTCAAGCTGTATTGGTCTTTTCCTATTCTCAGACAAATAAGTGTGTAAGCTTAAATTAAAAACAAGGCTTTATATTGTCCTGCGCTAATAGAAAATTGTCAGATATTTGATCTGATGTTTTTTTTTTATATCAAGACATAAAAACATATGTGGCTCAACTTAACTCTTTTAGTTTTATGGACCACAGTAAATTTGTAGTGAGCTCTCTTGTACATTCTCCCCATAGTTTCCAAAGCAATATTTCATGTTTATCCTTTTTCTCAGCAGCACATGGAAGATGACTTCACCCTCACCCGCCCACTTTCTTTCTTTTTTCATATTCACATTTGTTCCTCTGTCAGGGTTGATGCTGAGGTTGTAGGAATTTAAAAACTGTGTTTATTTTGTGTTTTGAAAAATAAAGATATTTAACAAACTACCTCTACCTGCAGTACACCTAGTGCTATTACACTGCATTCCTTTTACTTCTCTGTCAACCCACATTATAATATAATTTAAAAACCACTTCCTTGTCTTAAAGCACATCGGAGTTACTACTCCCCCTGTGGGTTTTTCACCTTCTCTCACTAAAATGTTCCTTTACCCTGCCTCAGCTAACATATATGTTGTAATTCCCCAGCAACGCCGGCTCAAGTTGCAAGTTGAAAAGTTCAAATGTAAAACAGAGGCTAGAGCTGTGAGGGGGGGGTGGTGGCCATAAAACACAGCCGGCTATAGATTACACAGGAGAACACAAAACACCGGGTGTAGAAAAGGTATGATAGGGTGTGTGAGTGTTTGCTGAGCTGAGGTACATCCCTATCAGTATCTGAGAAGTCTTATCTTTCCCTGTCAAATCAACCCGGAGAATCATTTAACTCATTTTCCGTCTCCTTTTCCCACATAACATCATCTTTTACTATCAGGTATGCAAGGAAGCTATTTATAACCCGTGGAGGTTAATGAAAAATACATGATCTCTCGTTCTTGTCTTCCCCAGGTCCGAACGCTATTTGTCAGTGGACTACCTCTGGATATCAAGCCGCGGGAGCTCTATCTCCTGTTCAGACCATTTAAGGTATGTTTGTATGTTTTTAAATGGATGGACTGCAGCTATTCTTAGCAGCCGTCTTTCCATGCCGTCAATGGGACCTCCATTAATGGTGATGAAATAAACGGCAATGGAAACTCTCCTGCAAGGTTCAAGTGTCTGTGTTCCTGAAGCCGAGGTTCAATCACGTCTTGATCCATGGGAAGCTTGTGTATGAGTGTGAGTGTGTGTGAGTGTGTGTGTCATGGAAAAAAACGTCCGGGTGCTTGTGATACATAAACAAAGCTATTTTGCTTCACCTCAGAATCTTCAAGTTGTCACAGCACAAACAGTCCTGGATGTAATCTCAGGTGAAGGTGTGTAAATGATGCAAGCTTTTTGGCTGAGTCAAAATAATGGAATAATGCACTTTAATGGGGGGGGGGGGCAGCAGCACTATTAAAGTGAATAATGGGACAGTTGCTATGCATCTAATCCTGCTCTTAGATAATGCTGCTGGTATGCACTCTCTGAGTTTCTATCTTGAAAGCTGTAAATCTCAATTAAGCGAGTAAGACATGACAATCCGGTTCATGTGGTTTTCATACAAGACCTTTGAGCCATGAAACCACTTGATGTAGTCAACTGTGACTCAGCAAATGTAAAAATATTTTTTTCCTCTGCCAAGGAGGTCATGTTTTTGTCCGCATTTGTTTGTTTGTTAGTAAGAAGGATTACGCGAAAACTACGTAACCGATTTCCTGAAAATTTTGTGCAGGGATCCTCCAAGAATGAACTTTAGGCAAATTGGTTAATGTCATCATCCACCCATGTCCCCTACAGTATACACTGGCCACTATACAGACATCTGCTTGCAGCCCACAATCTTTAAACCGAGCTGACTGTCTGAGACAAGTGCACATGCTTCAGGTGCAATATCTTTACCTACAGGAATGGAATGTGGAATCATGTACGCATGTGTGGAACCACAGATGGACGCTGACCCTCATTTCTGTATGAATGGAACCATGGGCTCATATATGAGACATGTGAGATGCATGTGACCGGTGCAGGTACACAACTATCAGCAGACAGTATGGTCAACCCTTTCAACTTTTTTGCGGATCTGGATTTGGGGGCAGCCGTTTTTCAGATCCAAATAAAAATCTGGATTAAGTGAATTTAAATGATGTTGTCAAAAGGAAACTGTTGGGCCTAGCTCTAGGTATGCACTCTACTCGGTGCCATTCTAGTTTTTTTTCTAGTTAAATGTAATTGTTATTATGCAAAAGATTATCTTTTGCAACCATTTGCTCACTAGAATTTATATGTATCTTTCTTAACTCCAACATTGTCTTTCTTTGTTTCAGGGTTATGAAGGCTCCTTGATAAAACTCACCTCGAAACAGGTAAGCTACTAGACACCGAGCGCTCTTTTTCTATTTAAAGAAACTAATGAATGAAGGTCAGTCCGTCTCTCATCACTCTGTTACTGTTTGCTTTATGCTCATCAACACGTTTAATTCTTTTGTCTCGCCTTTGTCCTCTCTTCTTTCTCTCCCTGTGTTAACACCTTGTTGACTATGATGGATTAGCACCTTTTGTCAGGACGTACCTGGAATAGGGAAAAAAATTATTTGGAGGAGGAAAGGGGAAAAAGTGTTGCACTAACTTGCCTTTGGCAGTCGCGCAGTATGCTTGTAGTCACAGACAGTCAACTCTGTAGGGACGTGCAGGAATAGGAAAGGAGATTGAAAAGAATTTTGAGGTGTCAACACAAGCGTGTTTGACAAAAGCGGTACTGACGGTGGAGTTTTTGCCTCCGGGGGCGCAGGACTGAAAATGAGCTCAGCTGGCAGGTGTCCACATCCAGAGTAAAGCAATTTAGCTGCATGTCACTGTACTTATTAGCACTTTACACCGTTTCCCATAAAGACATGACATGCTCATTATAAAGGTTTAAGGAGTTTACAGTGAACGTGCTGAGTATAATGAAGTAGAGTATATTACTGCTTATATAAGCACAAAGGGAAGCTTTTTTCCTGACAGTGAAACATTCTTCAGGTAAAATCCTATTGTGTGGTTTGGCATTTTCCCTTTTTTATTATAGTGTTGTTGCACACCATTTTAATATATGGCCCATCTTTTAATACATCTAGGTCCACCTGACCCTCATTGTGTTCCTTATTTTTTTATCAGTTCATGTAATGATCTTCTTAAACCACCCCAATAATTCCATTTATAAAGAAGAAAATCATGTTTGCTTTTAAAATTACTCGGTATACTTTGAGTCACCCCGCTGTAGTGAAGCCAAAGTGCCTTGATCGCCACCTGCTGGCTGGCTGCAGCATAGCTCACAAAGTCCCGCCTCCTCCATGGTTGTGGATTTGATATGGGCTAAACTAAATCCAACTGGACACAAATGCGGTTTCTGTCATTTTAGGTAGTTTGTTCATGAGTTCATATTCCAGTAATTTTGGTTTTAATTAGTTATTTGATGTCATAAAAACGGGGTAAAGATCATGATTGACAGGTCACACAGCTTTTCACCCTCATGAAAAATCATTTTATATAATTACTCCAAAAAATGCTGAACTGAATGTTGATCAAATCATAAATTAATCAGGTAATCAATGCTCGTCTTTACAGTTTAGTCCTGAGGTGACACTTAACCTGCACAACTCCAAATTTCACAACGTAGAATATGAGATTCCTACAGGTTTTCCTTCTTTTTGTTCTGCCTGTTTAATGAATACGTGAGACGCTCAGCAACTCTCTTTGCACTTTGGCCTCTCGCTGGCATCCACCCATAGTTTCATAATAATTGCCGTCTTCCGCGTGGCAAACGTCAGCTGATGCTTGTGTTTGTCGGGTCTGGCAGTGCAAGGGCAGCGCAACATTCCTCAGGCTTTGTTTAGAGCGACTTCAGTCCATACAAACAGCAATGACAATGGCATCGTAAATCAATCGATCTCACTCTTCCTTCCACTCAGGAGAACACGCAGCCATCTCCTTATATAGCAAGAGCCACATCTCAGGCCCTTTCTATTTATATTCCTGTTACGCTTTCCCGCTGCCTGACGTCTTCACTTAGTCCGACTTTCTTTTTTGTCTGTGTGTATGTTTTCTTTTTTCCCCTCCTCCTTCTTCTCCTCCTTCACTATACTTGTTCAAAATTCCCATAACCCTTGAAAAGCTTTTTGCAGATCACACGCAGCAGTGCAACCTCATGGGAGCAACATGTTTAGCGATTTCATTTTCTCCTCTGCCGCCCCCACCTCCTAATGTCCCTATCCACACAAACATGCTCCGCAGAAATGTGTATTCTTAGATCACATCTGCAGCATCGAGTTAGAAATCCGACAAACCAAACCAGCAGCAGCCTTTGTCTTTTTTTTGTTTCCTCTCTCTCGCACACTCACCTTTAAGATTGCGGACTCTAAAGTAATGCCACCAGAATACAAAGCAAGTAGATGTAAACAAGGACGTATTGCACTGACAGGGCTGTTAAACTATGTCCATCTCTTGCTTCACTCTTTTTTGTATATACTCACCTTTAACCTCTAAAATTCAAATTCTCAAGACCCCCCTTTGCATTTTTCTTCCTTTTTCTCTTTCGGTTTCTTCTCCTTTTTCAGCTTTTCCCCCTCTCCCTCTCTTACACTCACTCACATGCACTTTCTTGCTCTCACATTGCCCGTATTTGGGCATAGGGGAGATGAATGATGAACTCTCCTCGTACAAAGTGAGCGTCCAGCCTCTATTTCTCTTTCTCTCTTGGTCGCCACAGCTTTATAAACAGGGCGAGAGAGAGGAGGAGGAGGGGGTGGGTATGATAAAAATGGAAAAAAATATATAAAGAACAACATGTCTATGTCACTCAGACAGAAATGCAGACTCAGTCTTCTGCCCTAAACCATGTTTCTTCCTTTTGTTCTGTCTCCTTGTCTCCCCAGCCGGTGGGGTTTGTCAGCTTTGACAGTCGATCAGAGGCGGAGGCTGCTAAGAATGCCTTGAACGTAAGTGTCATGCCCTCTCTGTGCTCCTCTCCAGCACCAGCTCAGCGCTCCTATATCTTGTGATGACTTGGAATCAAATCGTTCTGCCTTCTGTGCAAATGCATTTGATAATGGGGGGGGGGGGATCCAGATATTCTTATATTACAATCGAGAAAAGGTAGTAAAGACAAACACAGCAGGGCTGCTCTAAATGCTGAATTTCTGAATGTTTCTAAGTAAATAAAGCATCTTTTCTTGAAGCTTTACTGTGGATCCTGCAAGGTCAGGAGAAAAATTTGCTCTTGCACCACATATAAATAGAAGATATTGATCTAGGGTTTACTTTTAATCTCGTTTATATCAGAAGCTCAGGAGGAAGCCTTGATGAGGCAGATTCAAATATAAAACGTTGACCATCCTCAGGGTTTTATTCAGTTCTCTTGAAACAAAGCGTTGAAAGACTAATGAACTCACAGCTTTATTTTCCCATTGTTTTTTTTCAAATGCATCTATCTATACACCACCCAATTCTATTTTGCATCTTAAGTTTTTGTTGATCTCTTTGTCTCGGAAAAAGATCAGTTTTTACCATCCTCCCTAAAAGTGGGACTGTGACAACTCGAGCAGAATCTGTCAACCTTCAGATGTGGAGATATTGGTGCGCATCAAACGCAGAGCAGAGAGTTGAAGAAAGGATAAAAATTATCATCTTATTATGAGCCAACAATAGTCTGACTTGTTTCCATAGAATCGCTCTGCAGGGCTGAGAATTGAGCAGCGCACTTGTTTTTCGGGGAAAGCTACGTCCCAGGGGTCATATGGAGATAAGCCAGAGTTTGCAAACATCTATCTGCACATTGAAATATGGGAAAGACGGAGAAAACTGTAAGAATAAGGGGATTTGTCTCCTGTTATGGTGATTGTATTTTTCCTAAAAACCAAGGACATATATAAATTCTAAAAGAACTAAAACACCATTAAAGCACCTAAACATTGCATGCAAAAGTCCAAAGGAAGTACTTAGAAGCTTAAACACATTTCAAGGTAAAGATTCAACACAGTTCAAACCGAGATGCACTCAGGCCTCATTATATTCATGTTCCTCATTATACCCGCGCAGCCTCAACTGGCAGAAGCTTCGAGAGCACTGAGCCAAGGCAATCCTAGTTAATTCCCTCTCCTTCATGAGAGGAGTCATCCCTCGCTTGTTTCAGCTCAGCTTTGTCCGAGCCTGCAGGGATGAGCCGAGAAACCCATCCCCGCAGCTTCTCACTCTTCTGCCGCAGAGAACTTTTACTCTTGACTGCTTTTCTCCTCCATCGATCTGACCTGCGTATTTTTTTCTCTCTGCAGAAAATCAACCAGGGTTAATTAAAGGGTTTTTATAGTTGCCGGCAAAATTCCACCCTGCGTTGTTGCTTCCAAGCAAACCAAATAAATAGCAGCTTTGTTTTTTGGGATGAAGAAGACCTTTGTTTGTGTCACATTCCTTATTTTTTCTCAGGCGAAAGTAATTGAGAAGAAAAAATGATTTGGACGAGGGTACATGGAGATAGTTGATGTAGATCTGAGAGACAAACAACCTTTACTTGGCTTGTCATGAGCAGTGCTATGTCAGAAGGCTTTTAGGATTGGCATCTGAAGAATTTACCAGGATTTTTGGCTCACTTGAAGCAATGACTGTCATTTGATGTCATGATATTACATGGCTCGCCTGCTCGTGGTATAAATGACATCATGCGCCGGCCAGGTTTGTGTCATCAGGTTGTAATTTCAGTTGTGGGTGTCACCCGTCATCTCCCGTGCTGAAACAGAATATCACTGCAATCCACAGTGAGTCGTTTACAGCGAGCTTCAAAGTCTAAGCAAGTGCCAAGATATTGGCAGTAAACTCTGTTGGGAAATGGTGAAAGATGAAAAGTATACAAAGTGACAATTCCAGATACCAGCAAGGTCCCGTTGGACATTTAAATAACACACAACAAGGCTGAGAATGCAAAAGCAGAAGACGTGCATGATAACAAACTCCTTAGTGTTCTAAATGAGTCTGCTTCATCATTACTTCAAAGCATAAGACAGCAAATCTGTCAATTGCTCTCTATTATTTATAGCGTCACCACTTCGGCGATGAACAAAATCATTTGCTCGTTCCAAGCGTGCCTGCTAAAGCAAAGTATCAGTGACCAAATGTGTAACATCATTGAGTCATTTTACGGTGAATCCTAATCTGGTTCAACAAAGGCGTTAACTTCCAGGAAAACAAAGGACCTCTAAGAACGCCACAGACAACTTGTGTACATTCATCATATTTGACAGCAACACGAACAAATAGGTTTGTTACTGTTTGCAAGAGATGAGTCGCTTAAATCTACTGAAAAGTGGTGACAGCAATAAAAAATATGTTTTAAAAAGTATCTCGAAGCGTTCACGTTTCTGTGTTCAGGAACGTCATTTCCAGCATTGCTATTATAAAGTCAGAATGCAATGTTTGATTCTTTAATGATGACGCCCACCTTTATGTTTCAAAAGTGCAATATCTATACATGTACCATTTAACCCTTTGTTGTAGCTTTTAATGAATCAGTCTGTGTACATTAACTGTTTCATTTTACCAGCACGTAGAAAAGTTTTGTACAATTTCTGATGCAAATTTCCATTTGATCTCAGGGGGTCAGGTTTGATCCGGAAATACCCCAGACCCTGCGGCTGGAGTTCGCCAAGGCCAACACCAAGATGGCCAAGAACAAGCTGGTTGGCACTCCCAACCCCCCTCCTTCCCAGCAAAGCCCCGGGCCACAGTTCATCAGCAGAGACCCATGTGAGTTCTCTGTCCACGAGCTTGTCTAACTTTTTCTTCATCTGTGCTGCCGCTGCTGCTTCCTTTGGACATTAGTGTCACTTGTTTGAGCTGACTGGACAGCTGGTTCCTTTTAGGATTTTTTTTTTGCCGTACATTAATAGAGGAGTGTTTGTGCTTCAGCTGTGCCCGTGAAAAATGGAGTCAACTTGGCTTCTGATCACTGAAAAGTAGATTCTTTTTTCTTTTAATGGTGTGTTTGCTCCACACTGAAACACTGTCATCCTGTGCACTCTTGATAATGACTCCTCTCTTTGGTACCAGAAATGCATTGTGCACTTTTGGCATAATGGGTCAACATGTTTAAAGCTCCCTCTCTTAAATGATACAAGTCCCCTATCAGATCTACAGTACATGTTCACTGTTTCAAGGCCCTTGTGTACCGAGTGTGTATGGAATGTAGCGCTGTAGCCTTTTTTCCAGTTTAGCTAAATACTTTTCCAAGAGCTTAAGGATTCTGTGAGAATCAACGATTGATAGTTGAACATAGGCCAGCTGTGGCTGTACATTCTTCCTGAATTACCAAACTGCTCTTATCTTGGATCTTTTTTTTTTTTGCCAGAGAAAGGGTGTGTACTCAAGGCCCCAGTGGAAAATGGAAGGAAACTATTAATGAAACCATGACGTAATCACCAGGAGTGAAATTGCTGTCATTTCCCGATAAGAGATGTTTAAATCAGGCATGTTTCTGTTCATGCTTAGATAAACATTTACCAGGAGACAGAAAGCAAAGGGAAAATGCTCCTTAAATTTTAAGGCAATGAGATGTTTCTCCAGTGAGTTGCTTTTTTTTGTTTTTAAGTGTTCACACACTGTGTACCACTCTGCACCATCATCTATCTCTTCACTCATGCACTATGCTCTTTTTTCACTGTCACTTTACACTCGACACTGAGTAAATCATCACATCTGAGATGGTTTCCTCTCATGTCCCCTGAAATTAGTCAGATATATTGATAGTTAATTAATTCTATTCTCGCACATTACAAATGTGTGCTGCGTACAATGATAAAGATGCCCGATCTACAGTCAAAAATAATATGTTTTTCCCTCTATACAGATGCTGGCATTCTTATATAAAAAATATATTTGGCCATGTTTGGCATCATTGATGCTATAGCGTAAACTTTGCAATATCAAAGTCAAACTCGGCTATGATCTGACGGTCGTTGAATCAAAGAAATTAAATGAGAGGAAGCGACTTGAGATAATTATCAGCTGTAGCGCACCTCCACAACCACCACCTCCTCCACCTGAGCCACCCACCCATCCACGGGCCACTCTCCTCACTCCACTCCTCCTCTTCTTCTTTCCACAGATGAGCTCACAGTGCCTGCTCTATATCCCAGCAGCCCAGATGTGTGGGCGTCATACCCACTGTACCCGGCGGAGCTGTCGCCAGCCCTCCCACCCGCTTTCACCTACCCCTCCTCGCTCCACGCTCAGGTAACCTGCAAACCCACCCCTTCCTCGCTCACTATACCACCATCACCACCACTGCCCCTTCACCTCCTGAGCCCACGGTGCAAACAGCTGCCGCCCTGAAATCATCTGTCTGTTCCATCCTCAGGGCACGCACCACCCAACCACTGTTATTTTTTTAATTTGCAAAGAACTGACGGCTGCAAGGCATAGGTGCAGTCAAGGTTAAATCAAATATCCAGACAGTAACCTTGTACTGTTTTAAAGCCAAGGAAATAAATTGTTTTTTGGGGAATCTATTTTTCTTAGAGCTAGGTAAACACAAAAAGCACAGGTGCATTAGAGCTTCATACTAAGAGCTGGTCATGTGCTCAGTGGAAGCAGGAAATGAATTAGGAATCTGACATAATTGAATTTGCGTATTGATGGTGAAATCACTGACCTTCTTATGATAAATAATTAATTTCCAGGGTGTAGTGCATTTTGGCATATATGTAATGATGCTCTCTCTTGAGTGGAGCTGATACCTGATCCCATTAACTTCCAGGAATCAAACTAATCTCACCCTTCACAAAACCATGGAACTGCTTATGTTTAACTGACCTGTAAGATCTCAGCTTTTGCAACCCCAAATTGTACTTCTTGTAGTTTCTGTCTTCAATATAACAATTACAACATTTCTGAGTATTCAAAAAAACTACTTGAAAGCACCTAGTTGAGTGAGGTAAGCATATTTTTCTATAAAAATTAAGAATCTGTCAAAGTTGAACATCTACTACCACAGCTAATAGTCTTTGTGAATCAATAACGGCTCATATCATGTCACTTTATTTAAATCACTCTCTCTCACTCACTGACACACACACATTACTGCAGCTCTTTAAAAGGTTTGCATCATCATTTGATCATCACCTACTTCATTAATTAAAACCCTCTTTTTTCCACCAACCGTGATCCAGTTTATCAAGGTCCTCTAAGCTGCACAGCTCCACTGTGAGTTCACATAAGAATTCCTTATTGATCTCTTGAAATTCTTCTCATGAAGCCTGTTTGCTACCGGCTGACCTCGATTAGATCTCACTAGTAGATATACTATTTCTGACTCTTTTTTGTTGCTGATTGGGTTTCAGTCTTGCATTGATCTGCCAGTACTTTGAAGTATTTTAAGCTCAAAATGTTCAGTATCAGTTGTGTTGTCTTTTATATCTCTATATATAGAGTATATTTCTGCATTCTGTATAATGCAGATACCAAGGTTATTTAAGTATAAAGGCCCCCTAGCAAAGAAGCTGAAGCTCAGATGATGTCAGAATTTGAAATCAGCTGAATCTGCCTAGCTGGTATTTTTCCACATGTGAGCGCACACACGGACGCACAAAGAAAATCTAGCCTTGTGATTTTGAATAGTGTGTTATGTTAGCATCTTGCATCCTCTTATGACCCAGAGTAGATGCTGGTGTGAGTTATTAAATGTGGATCTAAAGAGGTAAAGCCCACACACACACACACACACACACACACACAAGTTACTGATCAAATCTAATTTATGTTAACATGAGCTCAGCTCTCTGGCTCATTGAAATGCTGGCATCCTCTCTACTGAGGGCACAGTGGACGTGGGATTGCTGCTAACTGTTAGCATCTGTTTGCAAAGTAGAAGCACAAGAAGTTCTTCTGTTGTGTCACTTGAAAGTCTCAACAAGAGAAAAAGCTTTTTTTTAATATTAAATATGAAACCATTATTGTGCATTAAATGCCCTTGAGATTACACGGTTTAAACGGTGCCAGTAAATTGTGTAATATTTACTTTAACATTAAGTTTGTATGAATATAAATTGTGTGTAGTCATATCATTTGTACGTGTGTTAATGTGAGTGTGACTGTTTGTTTAGATTCGCTGGCTCCCACCTGCAGATGGAACTCCTCAGGGATGGAAGTCCAGGCAGTTCTGCTGAAGTATGTGTGAGTAACAACTCACACTCACACTCTGCCCAGCTATGACAAAGACGTGTACATTGTGCCTTGCCATAAAATTACTTTAGTAAATGTTATGACACTCTGTTTAAACAGGCCGAGAGATTCCTAAACATATGTTCGGGAATATCACAGGGTTTTACTCTGCACGTGGCATGTGTGCGTCAAGTGAGCGCCCTCTCTTTTACCCTCAAACCTCACATGAAAAAAAACCCTCCATCTCACTAACAGCCAAACTTACCAACTAATTAGTCACGTTTCTCCCAAAGAGCACATACTACTCGCTAACACGAAACAAATTAGCCTGTTACTCTTGTTATGAGTAAATGTGGACGTTTTAAATCTCCAGTCGGTCAATTGAACCGCAGCTGCTCGTCACACGCCATCATAAGATATGAAAGGTGCAATTTAAAGGGGAACTCCATTATTTTCCTCCGCTCAGGTCACAGGGTGCAGAGGCTCCACTTCTCCCATTGAAGTGACGCTTGATCTCTGGCATCAAAGGCGGCGAGTCAAACGGAATGTACAACGAGCCCCGGCGCCGATGTTTCAGTAAAACTGAAGGAGTAGAAATCAGCAAATATGTCTAAAATGCTCAAATGAGCTGCTTTGATAGGTAAAGTTATTAAAACCAGTGGTGAAAGTCACTCACTGGATTTATTCTAGCGCTGAGAGCGATAATTATGTGGGTTCGTCAGTATGAGCATCCTCTGCCACGTTCTACAGTCAAAACAACTGCTACGAGTCTTAGTGGTCTGAGTACTTGTTCCAGCAGTGATTGTAATTGATTTTAATTTTCCAAAATGATCTTATCGCTCCTGAAATTAGATTAAGTTGAGTTGTTTTGGTGCAGGATCAGTCAAAGTTATTGGTTCCACAGATCGGCCGCTTGATATTTATTGTTATTGTATGTGAGGAAGAGGTTTTTTTTATCATGCCCACGTTCTAACATCGCTATAATAAACACTGAATATTGTCCTATAATAGTGTTGTGTACCATACAGCGGATATTATGGCGTGTTTGTCATTTTGTCAAACCCTGGCAGAATGAAATACATTTTTTAATTTAGCAAGTGTTTTTTGGCATTTCTGCATCATGACAAAGTACACAGTGGAGAACTGTAAAGGAGATGGGACAGAACGAGGCGGCGGACGTGATGCTCCAAAAGGTCGTAAATGTGGAATATGCACTATGAACGGCTGAGGTACCTGGGTACTGCCGGAAGGGCTACTTTTATGAATCTTTATTAAAAATTGATTAGCTCTGGGCTCCGTTAAAAAATGAATTACAGATTAAATAATTTCAGCCGAGAGTGCAGAGAGTTCTCAAAGCAGCTGGTTTCTAATAAGCACTTTGATAAGTTCATTAGTCGGCCGTAACCGCTCCTGAGCTACGCCATATGTGTTTCGCTCTCTGCTTTCTCTTGTGCTCTCAGGAAAAAAAACCCACAAAGCACGACAAATCCCCCTGCTGCTTTGTGTATCTGTGTCGACTGACTGTGTGCATTTGCGCTCGGCGCCAGTCACACTGTCACCAGCACCCTCCCTTCAACGTCTCGGGACAGGAAGGAACATGTTCTCCCCGACCCCTTAGGGAGCGAGCGGGGAGCGGGTGGGAGGTAGTAGCAGCAATGGAGGCTAACATGGCTCAGGCTGTTGATTGATGCGAGTCCTCTGCCGTCTCCCTCTAACCCTGCATCAGAGCTTTCCAGCAGACATCCAAACACCGCACAAGATTTAAAAAAAAGAGCTGTTGGAGTAATTTGATGTTTTGGGGATTTCATCTCTGTCAGGGGGGCAAAAGAGGAAGGGAGTGGAGAAGGGAGGGGCTTGGAGGAAATAATTACTACTCTATCAAACCAAAAGGAAGTCATTTGGTCGGTCAGGCTGCCCCAGTGGATATTAGCCCCTGTATGAAACAACAACATCCCCACATCCGGCTCACAGTGCAGGGTGAAGTGAAGTTGAGACATCCAGTCAGAATGCTGTGATAATTACAGGCCACTGCAGTAGATACATACACACATATGCAACACACTCAGATTATGTAGTTTATATCATGTGCAAGTACATGCCCAAACATAAAGCCTCTCACAGTCAAGCACACTCAACTTGCATGCACGCTACAGTGAACAGGTTTTCTTTATGATTTCTGCAAGGAAATTTGTTTGTGCTGCTCACAGCATTTACAAATTACACTTTGTTCCGCAGTTCCATGTATATCCAGAAACATTCTGTTACTCGAGAAAACCACAGACCTCACTGAGAACACTTCTGTGAAGAGCTAGTCCCTGATAGCTGTCTTTGGAAACACATGTTGTCGATGAAGGTGCTAACAAAGAGGATGGGAGGCGGGGCCTTCAAGCACTGGCTCGGTTTTCAACAACACATTTGTTGTATTTATTGTTATAATATCCTTGCACAAGAGCAATCAAATGATCGTCTGACTCACTATTAAGAATATCCCCTGTGAGAGTAAACTGACATAGTAACATAATAGTCTTCATTAGAGCCCGACTGATTATCTGTTGGCCAATAAAATCAGAGATGTATCTGCATTTACGTTTCCTGATATGTGGTAATTAATGAGAAACTTACATTTGACTGAACAAACAATGCAGAAAAGATGGGCTGTGATTTTATTTACACCCTAGTTGATGTTTCTGATTGTGTTTGTGTTTTCTTACGGTCAAACTGTAAAATATCAAGCCTCAATTTCATTTTTCTTTGCCATAAAAGTTTCACAACGACATTGTACATGTACTTGTACATTGCCTTTTTTTTTTTTACATATTGTGTTGGCCGATTTATCTATATCGGAGTATACAGAATCTAAATCAGACCCCAAACCCTTATCTGTCAGTCTCTTGTGTTCATGTTTAGCTGTATCTGTCTTGTAATCATGATATAAAAGAAATGAAAATCATTGTTGAGTAAACTTTACTGCTGCGTTAGTCCCTTGTGCAGATTTATCATATATACAGACCTTGTGTTATTCAGCTCATCCTCCATGTTAAATGAATGCAGCTACTGTCTTGATGTGAAGGGTGTTACTTATTTGTGCAACACAATCCGTGAACCAAAGCTCTTGTGAAACAGTTTTAGCTGCAAGACAACAAGAATAAACTTGAACTGAGGTTGCAGAGAGCCGTCTGTGTTGCATCACCGTCGTACAATCTGTCTCCTTATCGGAGGGTCATGTGTGCTCACAAAGAAAATACGAAGAAATCAGCATTTTAAAATTGTTATTCATGCCGAAGGCCGTTAGTGACAGTGAACCTTCAAAATGTGAATTCTAACAGCTCTGCAGCCCTGAGAGGCTTGTGGTCAGTCAGTGATCATCTGAGCATCTGAAGGACGTGGACAACTCACGGCCGGAGTATGTGGCTCGAATTCGGAAGTGTAACCGCGGGACACTTAAGTGTGTGTGTGAGAGACACAACAGCTGAACATGTACTGCTGACCAGGAGTCTTTAGTCACGGCTGGTAATGAGTGTCTTAATCACCTGACATCCTGTCACAAGAAGCACCTTTTTTACCGACTTTATTTACAGCAGTGCGTCGTCTTTATCGCGGTCGCTACACTCAGGTTTGGCTTCTTTGCAACGTACTGTACTGTAACTGCTTTTGTTATTGTAATATACCACCAGGGGCTTAAGCCCAGCCACTCGTCTGATTGTTTGTGAAGCTGAATTATATTTGACATTCATGCTCTGGCACAGAACTGGGTCCAAAGACAACCTAATAGTGGACATTAATGCCTAGTGAACTGGAGGGAAAGGTAATCCGGATTTTCCATCTGACAAGACATGGTGGGGGAGTGTAGTGTGCGTGCCCCTATCATGCATGCCTGTGTGTGAGCCTGAGAGAGTTGAGTGTGTGTATGTGAGTGTGTGTGTGTGTGTGTGTGTGTGTAGTCTGGCTGCCTGCCCCAAGGACCTTTTTGGCCAATAGCCCGACAAAACCAATGGTTCCTGTGCAATGTTGGACTAACTCCCACTGGAGAGCTGAGGGCCAGCTGGGGCCCCATTCTAATAAGGAAGTGGGACTTTATCCCCTCACCCCCTACTGATACAAAACACACACACATATGTACAGCAAAGCTACACCGTGGCCTCGTCCCCACACGGGATCTCGGGAGCTAGATACATGTCAGCAGCTGCGTTCATCACCACCCAGCACCAGCAGCCATCGCTGGTATGTGAGAAACACAGCCAGGGCCTAAAGGCTTTTCTCCGGATTAAAGGGGCTTCAGACGGGGTCTCTTTTTCATGGCCGTGCTGCACAGGTAGAGCTCTTAAAGGACCATCAGAGGTTTTGCTCCTCGACTACAAATCAGCTGTGCTTTACATATTCACTAACCATTGATGAAAGCAGGCTACAGATTAACATCAGGTGGTTAATGGTTTACCTTCTGGCCTTTTGAAGTGAAAATCAGTTAGAGGAAGTTTAGAAAAAGTTCTTTTATTAGTCAACTTTACATTATCATTGCAGTTTATTGAGGGCAGATTGATTTGATCTGTATAGGTACTTGTACTGCGTTACCTTATAAAGCTCCTCTAATGAACTACGTCACTTCTCTTCTCTCATTTATAACCAGTTGTTACTGGACACGATCGTTCACACTAATGTTGGCAGAACTGGGTTCAGGTTTTATGCACCTTTTTCGATGGAATGAGCTCCAATCAGTCCAACAGCTGCAGTCTTACATTCCCCTGAGTGATTTCACATCTTTGTTATCTGATGATTTAAAAGGTTCTGTAATTGTTTTAATGAAGTCCTTGTTGTGTTGCTCTCATTGTTGAATTACGTTTATAAAATCCCTCAGCACATCACAACTGATACTGGATTTTTTAACTTGATACAAATATTTGTGTCTTATTACCAGTTTCAGATTTATATTATTAACAGTATTCTTTATTGCATGTTTTTGCTATATTTTATAACTGTCAGCCAAAATAGCCAAACCATGTTTATTGCCTTCAAGTACTATATATTAATGTGTTTGAATTTAAGCTACATGAATGACAGCAGCAAACCACAATTTGCAATTTAAATATATCCAGGAGTTATTGCGTTCATGCTCCTTTTCAGGTGTAGTGATCTGAGCTCCTCGTGTTCTTGGTTTTGGTAGCCAGTCAGTCTGGGTGTCTATGTGACTAATCCACAAAACACTGTGAGGTCGATTTGGCAGAGTCCAGTATGATGTGTTCAAACACTATAGTAGGGTGCTGTATTAAAAGTTGGATACATTTTGTGATTCAAGGATTGCTTAAAAATGTGATTATAAAAGAATTGTGACCGAAATGTGTGTATTTTATTGTGATAATTCGACTTTTTGTAAGTTTTTTACTTAATTTCTTACATTAGTTATCAGCTGAAGCAGAATGTCTGGTGTTAAACTATAATATAATTACCTCAGTCGGGCTTTAATCTTGAAAAGAATCAATGCATATTCAATGTTAGCAGCTCAGAATAAAACCAGTGACGCTCCTTCTCTGCAGCATGAGATCAATGATCACTGATAACACGGGCAGGAACATTCGCTATAGGAAGCCGAGCTGAAACAAACCAAACCAGTGCACACGTTCAGGAGAAACCGAGTCACCGCCCACATTCTCAAACACTTGTTGTTTACCTATCTCACATCATGTGCCGCGGCTGAGTTATTGGATGTAACACATTAAGCCAGTGGATCACTAAAACACTTCCTAATCCGCACAGACGTGTTCAATGATCAACCCAATCTTTAACCTTGGCGTCTCTCAGCCAGTACAAATAGCGCGGTCTGCAAGTATGTGTCGCATCAGCTTAGCCGAGCGGCTGTACGACGCATTGATTCCCTCACCCTTGATTGAACGCGCAACAGGGCATTAGCCAGGCCAGGCGTGCCCCTTCAAAACACACACTGCTCTCTGGACGGGGGAACAGTTCCCAGATCCTCTCTCTTCTTTCTTCATCTGTCTCTCTCTTTTTCCTCTTGAGGTCATGTTTGGTTTACTAATTGTTTATTGTTCCAGAGTTTCTCTCCCCCTGAACCCGAGTTACCACGGTCTTGGAGAGAAGTCTATTTTTGGTGATACATCTGGGGGCTGGTGCGGGGGTCAGAGGGGTGACCTTTCTCTTCGGTCTGCTGGTGGTGGTGGTGGGAGAGGCATCATGGGAGATATGGTTGTTAGGCAGAAATTGACTTCCTGTTTGTTACATCTGGACTCTGATTTTGAAAGATTTGGCAAAATTGTCCAGTTAAAAAGCACATTCCTGTAATTTTTACATATCAGATCGAGTTCACAAGTAACATGGAGCTCTGTGAGAAACCAGCTGTGTGTTCTCTTGTGTGTGGATCAGGAGTCTGTGAAAATTGCCTCAGAGACATCACTTACTGGAAGTAATCTGCGCGTGGGCTTGTTGTCTACACACTATAACTGAAAGGCTGCTGCACAGACTGGTGGTGTGAAGCTGGAAACGTGTAGGCGTTTACCAGGCAGACGGTATCTAATGAGGGAAGTTGCATTATGGGAAGTGTGGGATGGATTGATCAGGGGTTTGGTAGAAGCAGGGGGGAATCCAGGGGTGGGGTCAGAGGGGCACTGTTCCCAGCTGAGATTTGATCGGCCCCTGAGGTCCCCCTGTTCTGTCAGTACTTGTTTTTTTAATAGTCATTGTCTGACAATAAAATATGCTCTTTTGACGTGCTTGAACAAGAGACAATTTTCTAAAATATATTTAATAATCTCTGGCTCAAAGCTATAGAGCGAACAGTGAGTTCATCGTGCACTTTACTGAATCAGGAATTATGCATGGATGTTGGACATATAGCTGTAAATATAATCACAATTAAAAGTCACAGGTTCAGTTCCTACCCGGTCGCTTAGGTTCTGTCCTAACCCTATTTCTTTTTTGTTATTGATCTCTCCACATTCATTGGAACAGGAGTCTGGTCTTTGTATCCTGAAATAACTTGAGTGGAGAGACAGCGATAAGAGCTTCTGGTAATATTCAGGATTTCTTGGCTTCATGCGGCTCTGATTTTTAAACACCCTTCTTTTAATTCATCTTCTGTGAGTCCCCCAGTTTGACATGCGATCCATGACATCCTGTCTGGTCTCGGTGCAGTTTTGAGACGCTGCCACTGCACTTCCTGTCTTTATCCCTTCAGAATAATCACAATCCAAATCATGAATAAACAGTGGATCATAGACTGTATATAAAGAGCAGAGTGAAGACACGACTCAAAAATGTAAAAGTCTCAAAGATGGTTTCTATTTATTTGATGCTATAAAAACACATTGAAACGTCATGATTGACAGCTGAGTCTGACTCGTTCTGAACATCTTTAGAAACCAGCTTTAACAAAAACCATTCACCAGCAGTGCAGCTACATCCCACGAGTAAAACTCTCTCCCCTCTGTGTCCCCAGGTTCCTGATGTGTGATGGTGGCCGTGGCCGGCTGTGACGGGCGTTGCTGATTGCTTCTCATGTCCAATTAGAAAACCAGGAGGACTGACCTGACTCCAGCTCTCGGAGCAGCATACCGTCGGTGAGTCGAAGGCCCGGTTTAGACTTGGTGTTAAAATCCGTCCTGAGAGATTCAACCATTCGTGGAGAGTGCTAAGTTCATCTGATCACATCTGGCATTACACTGTCCCGAATGTGGCTCCTGTGACCTTTTGTGATCAGATCTCGACTCCCCGCTCTATATGCAAAAAATCCACAATGTCATTAGTCGCCTGGAAGATCAAATAATGTTGTTTATACCCAGACTGAGTTTACAGATGGCCCCGTTGTCCAGTTGTTTTCATAGAACGTCAGCTGAGTAGGTCCGTGCATTTCTGTTGAATTTGGCCACGTGTGTCCCAGACCACCTGCATATGTGGTTTAAGTGATCGGATCTCAGGATGCGTTTAGGTGTATTCAGATCTGCAGTTAGCTGCCCATCCCTCAGAATGGATGTTAATACCAGGTCTGAACGGGATCTGTGGCTCGGACTTCACTCTGATCCCAACATTGATCCCAGCAGGCGAGGAACAAAGGTGTAAATCTTACCTAACTGCCAAACCAGAGAGCCTCTGCCTCCTGGGACAGAGGTTGATCCCCGTGTGTAGATTTTGTGGGAAAAGCTGTGAATCCCAGTTTATTTATTTATTTATTTGGGGAGGGGGGGGTGCAGTATCGCAGTGCCAACGACATCTGCTGACATGAACATAACCCCACCGAGCCATGTTGACAGCGTGTAAACTTTCATCTCTTGTGCGTTTCAGCTTTTTGCTCCGCAGAAAATGTTTTGAAAACACACCCAGCATTATAGAGTTATCTGTGGGATAAAAGTGTGTGTCTGTGTGTGTCTGTGTGTGTCTGTGTGTGTCTGTGTGTGTGTGTGGTCTTGGCAGCACAGAAATGGAGCAGAACACAAGATACATTTTGTGTTAGTGTTTGTGTGTCTACAATGCAATGTCTACCTTTGTCTGTGGGTTTTATGGGCGTGTGTGAGTCTTGCACCAGTTCCACATGATCCCCTGTGTTTTCATTAGTGCACATGGTGACCATGACAACCTCACCCCATTTCTTTCCATCTCCGTCCTCCGTCTCTCTCTCTCTCTCTCTCTGTCAGGCAGCAGCAGCCTCATGGGCCTCAGGACATTCTAGACCCCAGCTTCCATCACACATCGAGACCCCCACCACCATCCCCAAAGTCCCTCCAACTCTTTTTTTATACTGTTACATACTCTAGATTTACTGGCAGTGCTTTGGCCACACCTCCACTGACACCTCTGTGAAAAGGTACCGGGCACGCCCCTTTGTTTACCACTCGACTGCAGTGACTGTCTGAGGCTACGTCCACACTAGTACGTTAAAGTTTTAAAACACGTCTCTGTTGCTACACCTGCCATTGAAGATGCTTCTGGTATTGCATTCTAGTTTCCCGCCCTGCATTATCTGGGATCGGCTCCAGCTCCTCCTGTGACTAAGCATTATAGATGATGGATGTGTCTCATCCATAGCATTTTCTGCAACGAGGCAACTAAATCCAATCTGCTTCCTGTGTACGGACTATGTAGAAGGTCATGTGGACAGAGATCATTTCTGAATCGGAATAAAATCGCTCATCTGGACTTTGATCATTTCCATTTGAAAGCCTTAAGTGTGTTAGTGTGGACGTAGCTCAACATTAGCAGCTCTCTTGCTTTGTGTTCTGTACATACAAGTGTAAAGACGAGGCCACCGAAAGGGGGGGAACATACATTTTTGTTATGCAGTCACTTTGCAAGGCCAGATGTGTGGACGTGTGGCTAAAGCACTGCTCGATAATGTTATTATAGTACTATAATTATTACTATTGTGTATATCATTCATATTAATGTTATTATGATTATTAAATACATGTTGAAGCATGACTTTGCAAAAAAAAGAAGAAAAAAAACAATGCTGTACATTTTTAGATATTTTAAAGAAATACAAAAAGGTATTTTTGTAATCCAGACGATGTTTGAGACGTTTGATTGGTTTATGTTGTGTTGAAGTGTGTGAGGAACTTTCCTGTTTCTGTTTTTGTTTGGCCCTCTCTCTTTAGCGCCATTATAAGATGGTATGTCACCCTGCTATACCGAAGCAGCCCTGTCGGTTTGCTTTTGTCTTTTCTACATACTGTGTGGACTTAGGTTTGCCCGTGTGTGTCTTTGTGCGGCGCCTTTACCTGATGAAGGAAACGTATTAGTCTGATGTTCTGTGGTTGAACCGAGCAGTCGACGCCTGATCCAGCTCGTCATTTTGCAGTTTGAGGTAATCAAAAAAACAAAAAAAACAGTCATTGACAGGAATAAGCCATCGGTGGTGAAGGTAGTGACCCCCCCCAGAGACTGCAAAACATGGCAAACTGAGTCCTGCTATAATTAGGAAGACGTGTCTTCATTGTCTAGCAGCAGGACAGCAGCACAGTATGGAGAAATGAAAGACCAAAGGCATTTTTTTACACTGGAGAGCTTTCTAGGCGAGTGGAGTTATTCCGTTTTTTGACTGCTTTGTAGTCCTCAATCTGATTTCTTATGAAGTATGACATTATTTTTGCTTAATGTCTCTTTTGGTGTCACTCCAAAGAGCCACTCTGAAACTGAGAAGATATTCACTTTAAGCAATTTGTCTCTTTCGTCTATTTTTAGGGAGCCAATGTGACTCAACCTGCTTTTGTAAATTCTGAATTTACATACTGATGATTGGAGCGCGGAGAGAAAAAAACCCAACAACAAATCTTTTGTAATCGTGTGTATTCTGGGCCTGCAATAATGTCTTTACTGTATGACATGTCTAGCGATAATGTTCCTGTGACATTTTGACGCCAAAATTCTCGTTCATGTCACATTTGCACAAAAACAAACCTGTGAGACTTTTACTTTTCCTGTCGAGGCTAAGTCACATTTCACAGTGATGTGACAATCAAAAACTAAATCGAGAAAACAACAATCTTTTCCCGGTGATGTTTTAGCCCAGATGTGTACAATCATGTTGGACTGGTCGAATCATATAGTCAGTGTTTGTAATTAATAATAATGATAATATGCACGCACATCATATTGACTGATTCTAAGCAGATTTTGCTTTTACGGACATTTTTGACGCCAAGCTTGGCACCAAATTTCTAAGTATTTATAAGGTGTGTGTGTGTGCGTGTGTTTTTTAATGGGTATTATGTTTTTGAATTTCATAGAAGATGCCCATCATATAATTCATTGTAAGTATTATTGTAAGTTTAATTGTATATTCATTTTTGGTAGGTTTTTTTTCTAGAGCTTCATTTTGTGTTTGTATCTGACTGATTGGAACATACTGTATGTAATATATGAATACTGTTTTATCTTCACTGTGAAATTCAGAGAAAACCATGCTCTTTGAACGAATGGATCTTTTTGTGTTTTGTCAGCAGTACGGTACAGACGTTCCTGGAAATGAACATGATGATCCCTCCTTTCGTAGATGAAAACTACTCCTTCCTTGTTTCAGTATACCGTGTGCATATCTGTGTGTTTCTGTGCATGTTCACGGCATGTGTGTGTTCTTTTCTTTTCCCTAAATGCATACAGTACTGTTGATATTTATGTACTCTAGCCGCTGTAAGGAGAAACTGTATTTCAGTGAATTGCAGAGGTGTGTTTGTTTGAAACCAAAAAAAAAGGTGATCAAAATGAGAAGTTTTTATAAAAATGTTAAATGAAGACATTTCAGGCCGTCCGCCATTAAAAATTGACGTCATCCTTGTTGTCATGATTGCACACTTTTGTTCTCTCTGAATGTTATTGTGTCTTTATCGTTTATATGTACAGAAGTTTAGAATATCAAAACCGACAAAGTTAACATCGTCCTTTACGATTAAAGACAAATATTGTTGCTCGAAGATGTTGATGCAAATAAAAATAATAACTTAATTCGTATAGCTGTTTTCAATACAAGTAACAAAGTGCTTTACAACAAACAATATGAAATAATAATAAACACGGATAATAAAAGTCATAGTGTAAAAAAGACAAAAATATCTCGGCTGAGAAATATGGCTTCAGGTTGGTGCTAGCTTTGTGTTTGGCTAGTGTTTACATTCAACTAGCCACACGTGCCCCACGGTTGTATCAACACATATTTTATAACATTCAATGTTTCAGTGATGCTACACACAAATGAAAAAGTCTTAAGATTTTCTTTTCTTTTGTGAGGATTGCTCCTCTAGATTCAAGGTGAGCTAAGTCACGTAGACTTCCACCTGCACTGAGGCTTAATTCCTCTCTCACACTTGTCATTGGATAACACCTCCCCCACGTTCCCAGGAGGCCGCGACAACATGATGTGGCTTCTTATAAAGTGGTTTGTGTAGCAGGGGAGCTGCAGACCTCTCACTGCCCTCTATAAGAATAGCCCACCTCACCCAGGGGCCGGCTACTCCTGAGACACAGGCCACAGCCAATTTACTTTCCTCTCTCTTCTTCCTGTCCTGCTCAGTCACACCAGGTGGAACACACCAGCCTCTCACATGACACTCACTCGTCCACGCCTGAGGGTTTTCACACAGGGTGTCGGAGCAGAGCAAAGTGGGGACAGAAATGTTTGCGTGCGGTGCTGGTAAGGGGGGTGCACACATCCAACTTTTAACACTCTGTAATGTGTGTTACTCCCATCGACCAGTCCATTAAAGACATGTTCTTTTCCCCCCCGTCACTCATCCTCTTCCAAATGTCCATGCTGAAGAGTCAACACTACAAATCCTCATCTCTGGATTCATCCATGACTCAGACCATCCAGAGCTTGTTTTGTTTTCTGCTCCCTATCAACTGTTTTGATTGGCTCACTGACCGCTGCTCAGTGTTTTAGGCAACCATGATATGTTATCATCCGAGGCAGTTACAGACGGTGCCTGAATGTTGATCCACAGTGTGTCCATTATCAATTTAATGCTTGAGTTCTTAAACCTGTTTTACTTTAGTGGATTTGCACGCTAAGTACGAAGTAGAGCTGATCGTGCCATTGTTTTTGCAGGTAATTGTTTTTGTAAGATTATCTTGTTTGGATAATAATCATAAAAGAGAGTAGGATAAACCTGTGGTTTGACCTGATGATGGCGCTAGTCAATTATTAAAAGTTATTAAAGTTCCCCACATAGCAAAGTTGTTCTGACTCACATGGGCTGCTCCACGTGCACATCAGATTAAACCTTGTAGAGAGAACCGCATGTTTTCCAAACAAGGCCCACATTGGTTTTGGGATATTCGGGCCACATTTGTATTTCACAAGCGAGTACATTTCTCACATCCATTTTGTCCAGGCCAGATAACACTTACTTTAAGTTTGTCCTTTGTCTAGTGCTGAATCACAATATACATTATTCAAGGAACTTTACATTGTAATTATAAAAAAAACCAACAGCTTCCATAGTGACCAAGCACTTGGCAACTGTGGAAATAAAAGGTTGTGTGTTTCCAGGTCGGTGAGAGAAATCATCTGGGAACCATGATGCCGAAAAAATGTCCAGACCACAGTCATTACTCTCCAGGAGTCATTGCTGCTACCATTGCAATACCTCCAGCAGTTGTTGAGATATTTCATGATGTTAAATACAGTATTCAGCTCTGACTAACTGGTGACTCATCATTCAGCAGCACTGCACAGTGTCTGCAGGAGTCTGCGCAGTCATTGTCTAAACAGGGACTGGCCCAACAGGGGCTTGTTTCTTCTTGGAAACATTACCCAACCAAAAGCCCCGACACTCCCTTATGTTGATGCCTTGTGAATCGTTACACACTTTTCACGATGAGCTGACGAGTTCAGAGTGAGTCAGTGCTTTTGATTTCACAGCAGGGGGTGATTTGGGTGGCGGGGTCGTTTACTTCCCTGCACTGTCCTCCCCTCGTGCCCCACTCTCAGACTTTTTCACCGTCCACTATCTCAATATTTTTCCTCCTCCTCCTCCTCCTCTCTTCCAAAGCTTCCACACCTCCTCCCTTGGGTGGGCCCCTGACCCTCTCCCACCACTTCCCTGCCCCCCACTGATTTCATGCTCGTACAATCCGCTCTTTGATTCCAGATAAGTACAAAGAGATATTATTTTAATTTCATCTGAGTGCAGATCCAATGACTGTGTAGGTGTGTGTGTGTGTCATATGATAACTTGACTGAGGATGACATCATAGGATGACTGAGGCCCTCTCCCTCAGAGAAGATAAGAGCTCCACAGCGCTGCCCAGTGGTCAGGACAAGACGTTACAGAATCCACTATACAGTACATGACCCCATAATGAAGTACACAACCCAAAATATCTAAGCCATAGTATATAGGACTACTGTTGTTTTGTGTATAACCTGTTAAACAAACCTCATCTGCTTAAAGTGTCAAATCTATATTTCAAAGTAAAGAAATATAAAATATAACATATAAAAACATTAAATGTACTTATTATATTATACTGTCATATACATTAAGGCATTCTTTATAAACATATAAAAAATAAGTCAGATAAATAAAGTAGAAAGTACAGTTATTCTCTCATGTAATAGAACAGAAATATAAAGATAAAATAAAATTGAAATACAATACAAATGCATTCAAATTCCATTTAAATACAATTCTTGAGTAAAATATACTTTCAATAAAGAAAGACATTCAATGGTATGGTATGTAAACCTGTTTCTGCCAATTAAAGTTCCCTGGTCATTATGAAAATAAAAATTATTTTCACGTTGAGACAGAAAGTAATCTGTATTCATCTCATATTTACTGGTTTTTATAACAAGTTCATTATTTTCTTGGCAGAAATGAGCTTCTACTTATACTATTATTCAACCCTTAAACGAAACATGACAGATATTTAAATGTGTTACTGGTGAAATCGATGTTATTCCACATAACAACAATAATAATAATAATAATAATCATTGACATCCAAAGTATTTCCATCAAATTATATTTCCACCTAGTGTCTCATAATGCAAAAGAGAGTTTTTATTCATATATAGTTATCTCAGGATAATATCTCAGGATAGCAGTATAAATAATATAATACTGCTATCCTGAGATAGTTGAGTGTAACTATACAGTAAAAGTAGACACAGGTCGCACTCTTGTGGTGAAAGAGGCTCAGTGCATGTGTGCTCTTCATTCTCAAAGCAAAGGAAGAAACTTCATGAGTGTTTTTTACCACTTGAATAAACATCATGATTCACAGCACGTCTACGACCCCATCATGTGAGAAACCCTCAACTCCCTAATGTGTGTTTTTCTGACCCACCGCTGAGGATAACACACACACACACACACACACACACACAGACACACACAGACACACACACAGAGGCAGGCGCATGACAGCACAAGACCCTGCTGTCATCATGTGATCCAACCAGAGCCCAGTTATAAAAGAGAGACTTTAATGCTGCTGTAACGTGATATTACTAAATCATTCTTATTTATATAGTGACAATTACAGAATCATGTATTGCTCTCACTGACATGTGATCAGGATGGACTGATACCACATGCTATAAGTGTCCTGGAGGCAACATGACTCTGCTGCTATAAAATATTATTCACATCACTTTTATAATTCATTCATCAGTCTTTGTACACATTGCTCCAGTGTGAGGGAAATAAATAACTGATAGACTCGTGTGGTATATTAAAATTGCTTTATTGTTACAGACTGAATAATGGACATGAATGAATCATCAGTGCAGATTTGCTGGTTCACAAGAAACAGGATCTCGTGTTGTGCAGGACTGTTATTGAGCTGCTTCACAATGATGGAGATTAGTGTAGGTTTAAGTTTAGTCAAGTTCAAGTCTGTTGTTTGACCCAAATCACAGCGACCATAGTGTCTCACTCACATGTAGCTGAATACAATCATTTGTATAGTTTTGGTTTTATTTGCCCGATATGATGGAGGAGGGTGATTTTTAATTTAAAAACTCAACAACCGCAAATACACACGTGCACGAAATTCCTTTAATAACCCATCAGCATTTTGACAGGAACTGTGGATTATCCCAAGCAACGTTGAGTTTCTATGGCAACATCTCCAATTCCCGAAACCCCCTTTCCTCCATTCTATGATCCAGATAGAACTCTCAAAATCTGGACAAATAAATCTTAAATTTTATATATATGCATGTAGCGACAGCTATAGCCATATGTTATTTGAAATTTGTGTGAACTGACCCTTTAATCGGTGTTTGTCCACTTGTGGGATCCTGTTTTTTTATTTAAGATTCTTTTGAGGCTCTTTGGGCGCCACATGGTAACGGCTGTTTTCCCTCAGCTAGTTGGACTTAATATTTATGACTTCTGCCTTTTTTCCGCTGCTGATTTTATTCACTTTCTCGTTTCTTCTCAGGATTGTTTGTAGCTGTCGGGTCGGCCTTTTGTCGGGTCCCCACTTTGTCTTCCACTCATTGGTATTCAAGCAGCAAAACACTGTGGACCATTATTCTCCTACCAGAAAACTTGTTGAGGTATACGCAGTAAAATCCCACGAGACTTGGCCATGACTGGTTGTTAGTGGTGGGAAAAAAAAACTATAAGGTGTCGTCTATGTAAAAAATAGAATAAGAAATTCACTCTGCGTGTTACTGCTTCTTGAAAATCCTTTTTGCGTCCACTCCCTCGTAGTTGTAACTCTGCGAGGAGGAGACGAGGTTAGCGTTAGTTCATTCAGACACGTTAACATATTGCACTGGAAGCGAGTTGAGATGGACGAGACGTACAGACCTGTACGAGCTCTCCTCCCACCACAGCTCGGGTGGTTGTCAGGATCTTGTTGTTGTCTTTCCTGGTGAATTTGCCCTTGAGCACGTCACCCTCCATCTCCCAAGTACCCTGGATCAAAAACACAGGGTAGGTGATGGAAGCTCTTTACGTTTTGTTGCTTAAGGCTGTTTTTCATTGGCAACAGCTTTCTTCATTTACTCTCCACATGAGTGATGAATCCATCACTGTGAAAAATAAGTGTCCAGTGTCTGGTTGCATTGACTTTATGAAATGTCGTGAGGTCTGGCTCTGGACACTCACCGAGACTTCGGTGCCATCGGCCAGGCTGTAGTCGAAGAGGACGCCCAGGGTAAAGTCGATGTCCTTGGTGCGGAAGGTGCTGGACTCCTTGATGTGGAACTTGTCCCCGGTCTGCTCGATGGTGATCTTCAGGTTGTCGTGTTCCGCCAGCTTACGCTTCATGACATTGATATCTTGTCAGGAAGAAAAAATAGGGATATGAGGATGAGTAGTTGTCATAATGGGCCAAATAGATGAGTGAGAAGTTTTCCTTTCTCCAGTCAGAGTCCAAGTCCAAAGAATAGACTTCAGTCCAGCAGCAGCGAATGTTATGGGTCATAGTTACTTGGAGTTTATCGACACCTCACCGCGACATTCATACAGGGATGTCAAACTTTGCTTGGACACACAACTCAGTCTCACTGTCATTAACGACAGATCACAAGGCCTTATTAGAAGAGCAGAGATACACCATGACTTTACAAACTGTGAACACACACACCCTCTCTCTCTCTCTCTCTCTCTCTCTCTCTCTCTCTCACACCCACACACACACTCACCCATTTTCTCCATGAACTTGTCATAGTTCTCATTGCGGTCGACTTTCCAGGTTCCGTTGAATGTCATGGCTGCGGGCTGGTGTTGGGTTGAGGGCGACTGGTGATGAGGCAAAGGCAGACCGTGGGACTGTGAATGACCGCAGGGCCTCCATATATATGGACCCCTCCCCTATCCCACACACACGCACACACACACACACACACCCTCCCTGCCACCCCACCCCCCCGCTCCCACCCCGAGCTGGCATGGAAGATGCTCTCCTTTATCTCGCTGATTATCTGTCTGCTGATGTGGCCATTTAAAGACTGTGGCAAAATGTAGGGCGATGGCTACGCGACCTCGAGGGTGCACTGATAAATAACTGGAGGGCAACCGCCCCCCCCCTGGTGAATCTGGCACAGTCGAACACTGTTGCACTGTTCTGCAGGAGAGAAAAGAGGAGAAAAAATAAAAGAGTTGGCCGTTTGCATGGATGCCCATGGCAGCCACTCGGCTGAGCCCCTCTCTGTCCCACAGTCTTTTCTTTGTCGCCCTGTTTGTGCCTGGCATGGAAATGAGTTGTGCAGGACTTTCTATGTGACGCTGACAACTTGAGCTGGCACGTTACAAAGAGCAGTGACCCAGAAGAGAAAATACCTCACGCTGAAAACATTCCATTTGTGCATAAAGAGCCATACTAGTGTGTTTGTAGAGTTTCGTCACTATTTGTGCTTTCTAACATGTGGAACATTAGAGGATTGTTGTTACACACTGTTCACCGTTGCTGGTTTTATACAGTTAAATACCATAAAACACCTTTACAGCTAGTTATTGTGGGTAAAGTGCATGATGCAACACGACATTTACAGCAGATTACTCCATCCTTTGGAAATTGCAGTCATATACTAGTGTAGACATTGGCAGTACTGCAGGCAGTAAGTTCATTCAGGTTGTTGGTGTATTATTATTCACACTTCAGGCTGCAGTCATGTTTATCGTTGCAGTTTTTCATAAAGTCCATAATCTCCAGAGTGCACAGATTTCCTCTCTAGAATAAATCTCCAGTGTCCAATTGTCCAACAGAGTCCTGCAGACAGAGAGAAGCTCTTCCTGCAGATTACAGCACTGAGCACTAGGTGGGGGGCAATTACTAGCTGTCAATTACTTACAAACACCAAAGTGTAAAGACAAAAAAATACAACTACTGACGGATTAAGAGGACAAGAGGGCATTAAGATTGTTCTGTCAAATTATTGTTATCAAGATCAAGCTGCACTTATTGTTAAAATCTTATGAGGGGCAAAGATTGGACAGTAAAATATTGCAAAATACTGCAAAATATTGGTTGAGATGTAAGGTTGAGTTGATTTGGAGTCAAAAAACAATAATGTGTTGTTGAAAGAAAGTTTAAAAAAAACACAGACAGTGTAATTTGAAGGTTCCTAGTCAAATAAATTTAATAATAATAATAATATTTATATATATTTTTATTTTTTTTGCAGCTCTGGTGATCTGTTTTATTAGATTTACGTGCTTCACAGCTTTAATCCTGTTACGTTAAATGGACGTGGCATCTCATTGTTGAGGCATGAACAATGCATTCAGTATTATTCATAAAGTCCATAATCTCACAGTCCAGCCCTGAGAGCACACATTTCCTCTCCTGAATAAAGCTCTTGTGTCCAACTGTCCAAAGACAAAAGCTGGAAACAGCAGCTGATACTTTAAATATTCAGTAGAAAACAAAAGCTGTCATGTTTCTACAAATACTTGAAATACTTGAATTAGTTGTCCTGAAAATTCCACTTTGAATTTGAGGATGGAAATGCAGCTGAATCTTATTCTTATTTGAATCCTGGAGGCTGGTATCATAAAGTGGCAGCAGATTTACAGTTGTATTACACAACAGCTATAAAATGTGATGTTTTACAATACAACAGTGATGATAGAGCTGTGAGTTAGAATCTGATCGCAGCTTTGTCTCTTCTCCTAATCCCTTTTACTGCTGCCTGTAAAGACTGTTTGGACTTTGACTCTTTATTTGTCTCGCCTGATACACTGTGTACTATAGACTGTTGGCATGATGCGTATTTAACGTGACAAATACCACCCAGGACGCAGCGCACACAGATGTTATACACGCTGGCACTGAGAGGTCAACACACTGCAACTTCAGAAAACACGTGTAAATACAGAAAACTTTATCAATCTGACCACACGTGTGCAGCACATAGAAAACACAACCAGATACAAAAATGCAAAAATATCAGAATCATGCGATTACAATGTTGAAATAGACATATTATTGTATTTTATGTATATTTCATATATATTTTATATATTTATAAATCTAAGGAATTAAAGAAGACCCAACATTAGTCACAATAAAACACACCGTGGTAACAACAGGCATGTATGTACATTTACTTTTTAATTTTCTCCATTGTGATTATTTGGTTGTATGGTGAGTATTTGGTTGTGTTGTGAGTATTTGGTAGTGCCAGTATTTGGTTGTGTTTTTGTTAACTGTAGTGAGTTGATCTCTCTGTGCCACGTATTTCATCATTGTTTTTGTCTACAGGTCCACTCGTCCTCCATCCATCACCTTCACTATTGTAACGCAGTCTGTTGAGATTTCTGTGTGTGTGTGTGTGTGTGTGTGTGTGTGTGTGTGTGTGTGTGTGTGTTTGTGATGTCACACACTGATGTATAATCTCACTAATGACTCCTGTTTCATACATGTAATTAGTTCAATGATCATTTCACCGTATTGCTGAGCCCCAGTGGTCTCAATTATTCCTATTAATGTGAACACCACACCTGACCCTGCTGTGTGTTGTGTTATATTTGTGTCTTTGATCTAATCAATTGACTCATTAATAGATTATTCCTTTCCCCCTTTTTTTCTTTATCATTTTGATGCATAGGGCACAGTTTAATTAGACACACCAGTAAATTACATCACATATACTGTAATACTCACACTAATCTAAATAACTAATAACTAAAACTGTTCAAATCTTGGACTGAATATTGTTGTAACAGTGCAGGACCCCTTTGTTCACATTGAGAGGTTGATAAAATAGATTTTCAAGGCCTTTTAAACAATTCACTGAATGTGATTAGTAAATAAACGTATGAAACAGATTCATGTGTCTCCATGCTGCTGTGTGCAGAAACTACACGGGTCTAGAGCGCCATCTTGTGGACAACTGGTGCAACTGCTCTTTGTTGGTGAGAGACGGTCAGGTTCACACTGTAAAAACTGCTCCACTGATATTTAGATTTGGGTGAAACTTTTTCAGGAGTTGCATTTTTTTTTATTTCCCCCGATTGCTCAACAGATTTGTACAGAGTTCAGTCTTAAATTTCAATATTTAAAAGCAGCCTCGTGGGATTGGAAAGAGCAACTAAATAGACATTTTCGGTTTGTGAGTCTAGAGAAGCCCCAGATGCATGTGTACTGTTAGAGATACACAATCCTGTCCTAAATATATCCCCCGCTGCCTCTGCAGAGTAACAGAAAGTCAATATTATTGAGGCTCAGCAATGAGGCAATATTTGAATTTCAAATTAGCCTCAGACAGTGGAAGAGAAAGCGAGCATTCAGTCACCCTGACGAGAGCGTACATGAATAGTGAGGAGCTGAGCACATGACCCAGCGTTGACAAATCGCCGGCACATTATGCTGAATGAGAAACAGTGTTTCACGAAGGGGAAATGGGATAATTGATCCAAATTAGGAAAGAGTGAGGCGAAACACTTAGTGAGCGTCAGTATGTGAGTGTGAGCTGTGCAGGGACCAAGGAAGAACTTATAAAACCTGCACAAACAAATATAATGATCTACTCAGTGGAATCATTCTGTGCAGGTTCATTTGGTGCACTGAGTTTTGGCTTTGGAAGATCACCACATGATTTGAATTCAGCATGAAACACTTGATTAAATTCTTTTATGCATTTAATGTTTTTCAGACCAATGACAGATTTCTATAAATTCCGCCGATCAAGTAAAAAGTTGCATCCCTTCAAACCTTGAAACCAACCCTTGTCTTATTGCAGCCTCTCTTCTTCATAATAGCCTCCCTCCCCTATCTCCCTTATCCAGTGGTTCACCCCTCCATATTTATTTTCCTGCATCGACGATGCGTTTCAGCTCTGAGAGAGGGATTACACGCCTGGCTTGGCCTACATCCCACACAGCCTCTGCCGGGACCGGGGCTGCCACCCACCGCAGGGTGCTCCGGCTGCTCCGGGGGGCTATGCCTGCATGGCCTGGGTGTGGGTTTGTAAATGACCCGGGACCAGGCACCACGCAGAGCCACCCCCTGAGCAGACCCCTGGTGTAGCACTGACAGGATTTGGAAGACAGAATTACACAAGTGTCTTTTTTAGAAACACACATCAGCTGCAACCTTGATGCTGTTTCTGAAGTACTTTCTGAAAATGACTGGAAGGTTACACTTCAATGATGATCTTTTTCATCAAGATGCACAAATCAACAAAGATCTTGCAATGTTAAAGTAGTTAGGAATAATTCTTGTTTCCACCAACTGATCTGGATCTGCACCTAAATTGAATGGGTTCTTTCTCAGGTTAAACCCCCACCCCTCCACAAACCTTTGCAGAAATCGGTTGAGTAGTTTTTGTGTAATCCTGCCAACTAAGAAACAAACGCAGACAAAAACATAACCTCCGTGTAAAAAATATGATGAAGTGTGAGGGTGCAGCAGGCAGGGTTCAACCTCTGGGAATATAATTAAACTTCGCCAGAGGTCAATATGAATGTGTAACCCTGGGAATTTAAATACAACAGTGTGACATAATGTGGTTTTGAGTAAGTAACACAGATTTTTGTACTTTTATAGATTATCCCATGAATCAATCTTTCTTAAATCACCTCTACTCAGTTTCCTGAAGCATCAGAATAAGGAACATACATACTCACATTCCAGCTATAGAACTATTGGAGCAGAGTTTCACTGCAGCAAATTAAGATCGCCCCCTTTCCAGATAAATACAGTAAATACCTCTGGTTATTACCTCTCACTGGGGGAGGACCAGCTGACCTTATTTCATAAGATGCAACAGTGAGTTTTTCTAATTATCTCCAGTTGAGACAATCTATGGGTTTAAGTACGGAGGCCGTGCTGCGCCTATAACTGAAACCCCAGTGATTTAAAAGTGAGGGGGAGAAAGTGCTTCAACATCAGCGTCCTGCAGCTCAGAGACCGGCTGCTTCTGTCTCC